GTTAAACTGCATAACGAAACAATAGAATGATAACATCTTACTAACTTCCAACAGCGGTATATAGCAATAACTTCAGAATAAAAGTAAAAATTTCAGAAGCATATGCTTTTAATATAGCATTCAGAGTTCTTTCGTAGTATATACCTGATATTATATTACTACGAAATTTTTTACTTTTCAGTAATTACGTCTCTCATGTCGTTTTCAAATGTATTTTTAATTTAAAATTATGCTGCAGTAATTTAACATGACTATAACGTTGCGTGGACTGCGACTGATCTCTGACAATGAAAAGTAATCAACATATATAATCACAGTTCGTGTGTAGTCGACGGAGGTAAAAAAAGGAAAAATTCTATCTTTTGAAAAATTGTCTTTTAAATAACACTGAAGTTTAAAGGTGAAAATTTGCATCACCTCGTTTCTTTGAACTAAAGATCTGCCGCTATAACACTTAATGCTGCGTCTGACTTTGTTTTTGTAAATGAAGAAATCCAAATTGTAAGTTAATGGAAATAATTTACCATTGCATGATAAGCCGTAGCTATATAGTGGAGCCATCCTGACAGTTTGGAGCGGCTGCGCTAATATTCCGGTGTTCATTGAAAAATTTATTGTTTTTTATTTTTTGTTACTCTACAACCACCATTTATGGCATACATGGCCAACATGCATGAATGGCATACTCTATAATGCCTAAACAATTTGATGATACAAAATGGTCTTACATTTCTTGGAAGGCTTCTCGTTGTATCTAATAATAGTTGAATGTGTGGGAAGTGCCTGTATAAATTAAAACACCGCCAGAATTAACTGATATTGACTTTAGGGCCTCATACATCACGAATGCCTAATCACATTTTATATCACGTCGATTTTCCTATCCTTTGCATTAGATCCTACCGCATCAAGCTCTCCGACACAAGAGCAATCATTCGCAAGTAAGTGCATGTTATATTATGAAATCCTCACCATAATATAATACCAAAATATAACAACGTGGTAATGCAATAACAAATTTTTAAATCACCTGCATCCACAATACTAGAAACAAACAGTTCAACACCCCAACTATCAAGTAAGTAAGCAATGTCGTCATTTTCTCCATGCAGAGCGTCACCACACTATTACTTATAATTTAGTTCACCATTTACTGGCGCTGGCGGAAAAGTTTTGAAAGTAAGGGCTGGTCAAAATGTCGCGCAGAAAATCTCTTTATCACAGGATTTTATCGAAGTCTTCCCAACAACAGTCTTCTTCAGTCCTTGTCGCCACCAGTGGGCCATAATCCGCCCAACAACAGTGAGCATCCCATTAGTTTACTTGAAGAAGCAAGATGTTGTACCTCATCTCCTGCGTACAGCGGTCAGAACGGCCAGTGTAATGCAACTATCTATTATATCTTTTCATTATAATAATTTTCGCGCAGTCTGCTATAAAATGGGTAACTTTAACCGTATAAATTTTATCCGTTTTCTGTCTTATGTATTTGTAGCCTCAATAACAAAAACTGCGGTTAACCTAGGTCAAACCTCCGTCTTATCGCGATTGAACCGAGATGAAAAGATTTTTTGGTTATTTTGTTGTCGTTTTCAGCTGCTCATAACATTTCGTTCGGAAGCGAAAGCCACTGCGAAGGTCCCTAACCGCAACCGAACCGCAACGGAATCGCAACCGAACCGCAACCGCAGTTTTAGGTTATATCTGTACAGCACTGTAGTGCAGTACTTATAGCTGACTAAAACCAGCATTCGTGTGATCGTCAACTATTTTGGTCAATGAGTCCGCAATACATTGCTGTTCGATAGCGAATGCACCAATGAACACAAACTACTTTGCAAAACCTTGCAATATAAACTTATATTTTTAAAAAAAAAATGGTAAATATCATAAAATAAAGTTTCCGTTTTATTTTTGCCAAAATGGGATCGTTTTGCTATCATGAAGATCAATTGTTTTGTTTAAAAATCAGATGAATTAAATTTCTCTTTCCTTTAGAGGATATAGTTCTTCCAGCGTAGGCCCTCGTATATACTATATAAACACTAAATCCACAAGTTCCTTCATTTTCATCTCAGATATATGGGAAATCTATTAACGATTAGCCCTTTGCCAAAATCGATATCGTATACAAAATTTGAAGTAGCTACTTCTTGAAATATACCTAAAATATGCAGAAGAAATTCGAAGAATAACCATTTCTATTCATTTTCGCCTTTTTTACTAGTAACCTGGTAAGCTTGCAATTTTCAAGCTAATTTACATAATTATGCAAATTCGCTGCAAAGTCCAATTTACGCAAATTATGCAAAATCCAAAACCATTGAAATCAGCCATAAAAATGTAATAGCTGGAGTTTGAATGCGTAAGCAGCCTGTTGGGACCCACAAGTGTACATGTGTTTGACATAAGCATTTTTATGCATGATGACGATATTTTTTTTTGCATCCACATGCAAAATATTTTTATTGGCAATACTGGCAATACCATTTACAAATATGGATAACGATATTTAAACTCAAGCCTCATGATCTTCGACAAATCCTTCGTCTCTGGCAAATTTTAATTGTTTGTAGGCCTATTTAGCATTTGCGTTAACCCCCACCAATGGCGGATCTAGGGGAAGTCAGAGTAATTAACACAGCTATATCTTAAATACAAAATACCTTAATAACAACGCTATTGCTTACGGATTTGAAAAAACTATTTTTAAATTAAAATGTACCAATGGGATTGCAATTTTCAGCTGTAGTAATTAATTCTGACTACCTCTGGTTCCACCTCTGAATCCTCGAGCAAAAATTCCCGAACAAATCATTCAAATTTTAACAATAGATGATTTCGATAGTTTTGGGTTATTTGGGAACACCCTGTATATAATTACCCGTATATAGTTACTTTTCTTTATATAGAAATAAAAATTGGAATCTTTGTCCAGTGAGGTACTTTCTGAACGGGTTACTTCGGACAGAAGGCGTCAAATTATCTGCCATTAATAATGGTCATTGCTGCAAACCAAACAATCATCCTGACAAGTATGGATCGTGTTATGATGAAGATGTTCGATCATCGTTTGATCAAGTAGGATGGTCAAGCTGTTGCAAGGCTGGTTATTACATCACTGGTCTTTATCGCGGATCTGGTCATTGGCTGAACAACATCGATAAATTTCGATGCTGTCAAAACGCTTAAAAATATCAATAAATTGCTTCCCTCTTTCATGTCAATTGATAACTTTTTAAATGTTATTATAATATAAGTTTGGCATAACGAGTGATTTCAGAGAATTTCATTTTTGATCTAATTAATTGTTTTATATGTTATAAAATAATCAAAAAGGCTCGTCTCCTGCCTTTATAGTGCAATAATAATATACTCGGGGGAATGTTGGAAGAACACCCAAGAAGCATGTATACAACAATCGGCTACACTTCGGCATTATATACGAAGTAGAACACTTTATATTCTTTAAAACTATATTTGTTTGTGGTTCAAGTTCAATCAGTTTATTTAGGAATTTAGATTCAAACTATACAATAAATAATGGCATTTTTTTTTGAAAATATAGAACAAAAAATTTTAGCAACAAGGATACTAAGCGGCTAATTCGATGTTAGACAAATTTTGATGTTGTGAAATGTACGACTTCAAGAATCTGCATGTAATCTGTAATGACGCTTAATTGTGCTATAGTGAATAATATGGTATACTTCAAGGACAAACTTAGTTATATTTATAATCTATTTACGTCCACGTATAATGTAATAATATTCAGGTAGGGAAGGTTCGTGTAGTCGGTTTATGTTTCATACATCTCGAATTCCGTATATGCGAAAGTTTCTGCGAAGTTTTGACGGATTGAAGGAAATGTATTTTGTAGCTATTTCATGTGTAGTCAGTTTTTTCGTGTTGTTTTTCCTTCTTTATACCTAGCGTTTGGACGTTGACTCGATAGTTCTATATATTATTACTTAAATTGTAGTGATACACAATTCAGTTCCACTGCGATGAACTGCGATGTATTTCAATAAACATTCAATCAATGCATTGTTTATCTTCCTATATGTCTATAATTATATAGCGTCGACTTTTTTATGGTATGCTAAATGCAAACATGTTTTCCATTCAGCCATTCTGCAGTTGCTTACGAAAATAGAATGAGAATTTTTACAATCTGTATTGTTTTTCGTCCTATGCACGGTAAAATTTAATCACCAAGAACGGTGAAGTGGCAGAAGTTTAAATCGCGAATAGATTATCACGCCTTATACATGTATGTGGTGACTACATAAACCATTTAAATATGGCCATTTTCAAAATAATATAGCCATTGAAGCATTGCCCACCCGTTTTTCGTCTTCTTTGCTTTATTATCAGGGGTTCACGCAAATATATAGCCCGGAACGTTCCAAGAAAAGTAAAGAAAGACTGCAAAAATAAAGTGGTTATAAGTATATTGCTGATACATACATGCAAGTATAGGCAACAACTAAAGTTTCCAAACAAAGTAGACTCGACCACATCCCGAAAGAGATAATTATAGGGATTATATTATATATTAGGAGTAATTGAACGTATGCATAATGACGTAACAAGCCGTGGCACCGGCAGAGAATTCTGGTCACGGCTTGAATTTTTGAAGTTTCAATTTTTCGCCTTGACTACATGAATGGGATATTCGTCATTATCATTGGGATGAAAAAATCGGTTTATTCAACTCAATGGTCATCATGCATGTATAAGTCTATTAACCGTCCGTGCATGCCTTCTAAAATAATTGATAAATAATCAATATATATTCTAGCGCAAACAGGAAAATAAATGTACAGCTTTGTGACTGTCATTGATTATCATCAATCACGATATGGAGCGAAATTAGCTAAGTAGGCCTCAATTCAGGGAAAAACCACTTCGTAAATTATTAAGGTCATGCACGCAAGTGTTGGTAATATATATAAATGACAATTTACTGTTTGTGAGTTAAAACCGTCTGCGTTGCAATGAAGGTCTTTCAAAAATTTGCTGTTTCGTTCATCGTTTTCGTGCTGAGCGAGTGCTCAAAGGAAGCTGTCTTTCGGAGAAATAAGCAAAAATACTTGGCGAATCATGTCATCGAAACAAAACAAGCAACGTCCGAGTTTGAATGTGGTTTGCTTTGCGATCGTCATTCATTGTGTACGTCAGCCAACTACAAAACTTCTGGTAAAGATAAAGGTCGATGTGAACTCAACAATAAGACAATACAAGCAACAACCGATGATGATGAACAAACAAAGCTTGGATTCAACCATCTTGTGATAATTAAACCAGTGAGTAAATACAATGATTACTTGGAGTTTAAAAAGTTATTACAAGCTATTTTTACTTTTTCCCGCTACAGCTAAGAAATTGGTCATATTATAACGTGATTTTCGTGTTATATCCTACTTGCAAAATAGATTCGAAGCAACAGGAGCTGTAGTCAGATTTGAACCAGCTTTCTAAGAAGCAGCGACCGCTTTTGCAGGTTCTCACAAACTGTGTGTCGAGATGGGTGTACTTTGTTGAACTGCATAACGAAAAAATAGAATGATAACATCTTACTAACTTCTAACAGCGGTTTATAGCAATAACTTCAGAATAAAAGTCAAAATTTCAGAAGTGTGCGTTTTTAATAGCATAGCATTCGGAGTCCTTTCGTTCTGTGTGTCAAAGTACTTGATATTAGGCTATATTACTGCGAATTTTTTTACTTTCTCAATTCTCAGTAATTACGTTTCGCATGACGTTTTCAAATACCTTTAATTTAAAATTATGCTGGAGTGATTTATCATGACTATAATAACGTTGCGTGGACTACAACTGATCCATGGCAAAAAGACAATTAATCAAACCAGAATGATATTCAAAAGAAGAGTATACACCTATTGTCTTTCGATGTAGAAACGTTAAAATACGCCTTTTCGATTGTTAAACACGTTTTTAAGATTAAGTCATCTGCAAGAAGGTTGTTGGTATATTTGAATCTTCAAACTTTTCGATTTGTGCTTTGATGGATCAGATCTAAAATTAATATGTTTTCATTCACACCAGAGGGGTCGTCGATATTTCAAGCTTAAAATTAAAATTTAATATCAAAACTCGCATGAATTTTAATAATATGGTAAATCAGATCTTTTTTTATCTAACCGAAATATATTGCAAAACTCGACTGCTGAGTCGATTCTTTAGCGGTTATATGTTGGCCGCATGCATCAGCGGTTTTAAGAGGGGTTCATATTTACGCTGCGAAATTTTCTTTTTAAAAGTAAGAAGTCGACCGAAGCGGATCCACAGCAAACAAAATTAAATAACGACGGAGGAAAAAAAGAAAAATTCCATCTTTTGAAAAACTGTGTTTAAAATAACATTGAAGCTTAAAGGTGAAAATTTGAATCACCTCGTTTCTCTGAACGAAAGAGCTGCCGCTGTAATACTTAAACTTGCGTCTGACTTTGTTTTTGTAAACGAAAAAATCCAAATTGTAAGATATTGGAAATAATTTACCATTGACAAGCCGTATAGCTATAGTGGAGCCATCGTGACAGTTTGAAGCGTCTGTGCAAATATTCCGGTGTTCATTGAAAAATTTATTGTTCTTTGTTTTTTTTGTTACTCTGCAACTATCATTTAAACCACTTGATCATACAAATAGTATAACATTTCATACAATGGTTCTCATTATGCTTAATAATAGTTGAATGTGGGACAAGTGCCTCTATAAAACACCAGAATTAATTGACCTTAGGGCCTAATGCAAAGTGAGATATACATTATATGAGCTATATATAGTTTTATGTATCACGAATATATAATGACATTTTATAAAACGTCGATTTTCGTTGTTTGTTTTTCAGAACCCTGCCACATCAAGCTGTCCGACACAACAATCATTCACAAGTAAGAGTTATATTACGAAATCCTCACTATAATATAATACAAAAATATAACAACGTGGTAATGCAATAACAAATTTTTAAATCACCTGCATCCACAATACTAGAAACAAACAGTTCAACACCCCAACTATGAAATAAGTCAGCAATGTCGTCATTTTCTCCATGCAGAGCGTCACCACACTTTTACTTATACAATTTAGTTCACAGTGAACTGGCGTGTGTTATGAAAACTGCTAGATTTCGCATCATTTTTGCATTTTATATCTCCTTAATTATTGAAGGCTCTCATGTCTTCTTGAGAGATCGTTCATGCAGATTTCCAATCGCATGAAATCAAATCTTACAAAATTTAGAAAAACACTTCCCACCTCAATTTATAGATACGTCTTTAACATGCTCTAATGCGGACTGGAGGCAAAGTTTTGAGAGCGAGGGCTTCTCAAAATGTGGCGCACGAAATCTCTTTATCACAGGATTTTATCGAAGTCCGTCCAACCATAACAAGCATCCCATCAGTTTACTTGAAGAAGCAAGATGTTGCATGTCGTCTCCTGCGTACAGCGGTCAGAATAGTCAGTGTAACAGGACGAGTTTCAATGGTTCTTTCAGAACGTAAGTATTTCAGTCACTTCATGATAATATAATTTTCGCGCAGTGTGCTGCAGGCGGTAAAAAAGTGGCATCCCGCTATCCATGTGTTGTGTGCGTATTTCGGTGTTTTTAAAGATTGTCGAAGTCGGTTTCATGATATATGAAAAAGTACGCAAAAGCAGCGAATTATAAAGATAACAGGTGAGCGACGTGTATAACAGAATCTGCAATAAAACTTTTGCAGAAATCCGCTTTACACTACGCTTAATTAATTACAAACTTCACCCGTGCTCCGTCATATATTGGTATAGCCTCATTAAATCTATAGTTCAGTGTAGTGCAGTTATAGATGTGTCTATTACTATTTTGGTCAACGAGTCCGCAATACGTTGCTGCATGTTTGATAGCGGATGCACCAATGAACACAAACCACCTTGCAAAACCCAGTAATATATATATATATATATATATATATATATATATATATATATATATATATATATATATATATATATATATATATATATATATAAACTTATATTTATAGAAATAAAAATGATAGAAGATTAATAAAATAAGGTTTCCTTCTTACGTTTGCTAAAATGAGATCGTTTTGCTATCATGAAGATCTATTGTCTTGTTTAAAAGTCAGATGTAGATTTAATTTCTCTTTCCTTTTGAGGATATGTTTCTTCCAGCGCAGGCCCTCGTATATATACGATAAACACTAGCTCCTAGTTAATTCATTTTCATCTCAGATTTATGGGAAATCTACTGACGATTAGCCCCTTGCCAAAATCGTGTTCAAAATTATAAATACTTCTTGTAATATACCCAAAATATGAAGAAGAAATTTGAAAAATAACCCTTTCCTTAAATTAGGTAAACTCTGTTCATTTTCGCCTTATTTAATAGTAACGTGGTAAGCTGGCAATTTTCAAGCTAATTTACATATGCAAATTCGCTGGCATACGAATAAAATAGTTGGCAATGTCAAACAAGATTTTCTCTCACCTCCATGCAAGTTTATATTCAGGTCTCTGGCCTAATATTTACCTCAAATTGTTTCCCACATAGTTTCGGAAAAATCGAAAACCATTGAAATCAGCCATAACAATGTCATAGCTGGAGTTTGAATGCCTAAGCATCCTGTTGGGACCCACAAGTGTGTAAATGTTAAACAAAAACATTTTTATGCATGATGACAGGAAAATTCGTTAAAACCACAAATGATTTTTATTGCTAATACTGGCAATACACTTTAGAAATATGGATAAAATATTTAAATTTACAACTCATGGCCTTGGACATGTCATTCGGCTCTAGCAAATATCAACTTTTTGTGGGCCTATTAACATTTGCGTTAATGCTCACGAGAAAAAATTCGCGAACAAGTAATTCAAATTTAACAATAATATATTTTATATATACGATGGGATTTGTTTTTTTTTGAGACGCCATGTATATAATTACCCGTTAATGTATTCTATATAGAGATGACAAATGGAGTGTTTGTCCAGTGGGGTACTTTCTGAACGGGTTAAGACGCAGTAATGACACAAAATTACGTGCCATCACAGGAGCTCTTTGCTGCAAACCTGAAAATCATCCTGACAAGTATGGATCGTGTTATGATGAAGATGTTGGATCATCTTTTGATCAAGAAGGATGGTCAAACTGTTCCAAGGCTGGTTATTACATCACTGGTCTTTATCGCGGATCTGGTCATTGGCTGAACAACATCGATAAATTTCGATGCTGTCAAAACGCTAAAAAATATCGATAGATTGCTTCGCTCTTTCGCGTCAATTGACAAATTTTTAATTGTTATTATAATATAAGTGTGGCATAACGAGTAACTTCAGAATATTTCATTTTTGATCTAATTAATTGTTGTATATGTTAGAAAAGAATAAAAAAAGCATGTCTCCCGCCTTATTACACTATATAGTGTAGTAATAATATACTTGAGGTTCACGGAGTCTGTTTATATTTATTACATCTCGAATTCCGTATATACGAAAGTTTCTGCAAAGTTTTGACGGATTAGAGGAGATGTATTGTAGCTACTTCATTCATTGTCAGTTTTTCCGTATTCGTTTTCATTCCAGATATATACTATCGTATGGACTCTAACTCAATTGTCCTACAATATAACAATATATTATTACTTAAATTGTAATGATATACAATTTAGTTTCCACTGCGATGTGTTTCAATACCACTTAATGAATGCATTGTTTATCTTCCTATATCTGGTTATGTTCCTATATCTATAGCTATCATAGTATCCTATAAATGTGGTATTGCATCAAAGGTTGTAAATAGCATTTAATTCAACTGTAAGATCCCGGGATAAAAATTATACGATTTACTTTAATATTTCACTCAATATTTGTGTAACGGTGGGAAGTTTTGTTACTGAATCATTTCTCAATATAAAGCTTATTCCGGCTTGATGAATGCATATATATTTCTAGTTTACAGTTTTGAAGAAGAAATGGAGAATGACATATTTATATATTAGTTTTAAGACATTAACGCAACGGTTAGAAAAGAGATTTCATTTTCAATTTGTCATGTAATTTGTCTAGCTCATGATTGTCTCATTGCAAACACGGCTTAGCAAAAAAAGAAGAAAAGAGAAATATTGCATTCTACTCTATATGCATGCACCTTCTTGCACGTAGCACCTGCTTTTAAAACTTTTATTAGGTTATATAAATTAGAATCAAGACACTAACGCAGTGGATGAAAAAAAAATTCATTCTCAATTCGTCATGTAATTTGTCTCAGTCAAGACTGGGTCATAACAAGCACAGGGTCTGCACCCGGCTTTACGACTCAATTTCCCCTGTGCAGGTGGGAAATTTTCTTATCAAAAAGGGGCCGTCTCGTGTTTTCGAAACGTATAGAGCGCAGATAGCAAGGGATCTTTGGCAAAAACAGACAACGTATAACATTGAAACCTATGATACAGAGCATGGCAGAGACTCACCAGGCAGAAATAGCGCATTTGCCGTCGGTATTTTTGGGATTCAATCTTGTGTTGTTGATATTTTTGAATCTTCAAACTTTCGGTGATGCGCTAGACTTTTGTTTTGATGGATCGGAGGAAGGTAAGCTTTGGGACGTGTTTTCAAATCTGTTAACGAACTCATATTAGGATATTCGTAAAATCACCTTCAAATAGCCCAGAAGCTAACTCTAACAATGTGTCTATATCGCAATTTTATAAGGTTATCGTTAAACGTTAAACCTATGGAAAACTCACGCCACGTCGGGAGCAGAAGCGCCTTAAAATGTGCGGAAAATAGGATGTAGACTGTTAACTTCAAAAAACTGAGAAGTTGTGAAGAAATGGAAAACTGTGAGTTACTCACAGAGGTTGACTCAGAAAATCCTAAACAGCTCACGGAGGATGAGGAATATGATTATTATATACTGCTCGATTGTAACGGCGGGGTATGTAGCTACGTTTTTGTTATATTTTCATTTACAACAAAAGCCGCGCGATATTTTACGCTGGCAAATGTTAGTTAAAATTTATAGAACAAATTCGCATGTACCGATATTGTGATCGGAAAAATTATATAATAAATTTAAATTTAAAGATAACACAGCAATAAAGTTCAATTTTCAATATTTTTCGCTAGCATTAACGTACACAAATATAGATAAAATTCGCACTAATTATTAGTAAGAAAAAAGTAGATGAAAGAAATGCTTTGGCGATTAAAAATTGTTGTCAAAGCTTGTGTATGTCATGTATATTTCATTTAAAAGATTGATCATGTTAATCTTCACAATTTCCTAATTACACAATGTTATGAAAGTAATTTAGGTAGTTCATTTTAATTAAATGAGTGTCTGGGGGAAGAAAGATTAGTTTTCTAATCTTCTTTACTGTAATTTTAAATGTCGTTTCACGAATATGTTGATTAATGATTTCACAGAGAGCGTAACAATCATCGTCTTTAGTTTAGCTAAAAATTCAGAACTTTGAAGCAGTAGTCATCTTTAACAAAGACAGAGAACATGTATGTACATATATATTTGTATGTACATGTACATATATGTACATGATTTATGCACAATTTTTTCCGTATACGATTTTTTCCTTGTGAAATACATTCTTTCATTCCAGAGTTTACATTTCGCTATAGTTCAAGTGGTGGCGAGTGCCGGTGTAGCTAAAAAACCAGATCAACAGATTTCGACCCTAAAAGCCTGACGCAAAGTGAAATATATTTAACAATTAGTCTCCTCAGGCGAGGTGATCACAAGCATAGGCCGGGAAACAACAATAAAAAGCTACAGTCACCGGCCAGTAACTCTCACTTTAGAGACCGTGAATTTTCATCAATCAGAATGCAGGAAAATCAATAGTCACCACGAAATAAAACTTATACTGAAAGCTGATATTAATATATGCTATACAGCAGTGTTATTTTTCCTGTATACGCCAATCATCTTTGGCAAAGACATAGAACCTGTATTATTACATGATTTGCACACAGAATGATAGAGTAAAACTCGTTCTTTATACTCTGTAAATCAATCTTGATTGGACCTACGATTTTTTCCTTATAATTAAAAAGTGAAATACATTCGCTCATTCAAGAGGTTACATTTCGTTATAGTTCAAGTGGTGGCAAGCGCCGGTATAGTTAAAAAACCAGATCAACAGATTTCGACCCTAAGGGCCAGATGCAAAGTGAGATATATTTAACAATTAGTTTTCTAAGGCGAGGTAATCACAAGCATAGGCCAGGAAACAACAATTTAAAGAGCTATAGTCACCGGCCAGTGACTCTCACTCTAGAGACCGTGAATTCTCACCGATCAGAATGCAGGAAAATCAATAGTCACTACGAAATAAAACTTACTAAAAGATAATAAATTAAAATATATGCTATACAGCAGTGGCGTGATGCTATAGCTATGATAATATTTTTGTGTTCATAGATTGCGAAAACAATGAAATTCTATAGAATTTCAGAATTTCAACTCTAAACCAAATTGTCAGTCTGGCTACGACTACATATATAAATGTATGGTAACGTTTCAAAGTGATTTTCGTTTCTTTTGTGCGTTTTTCCTAGAATCCGTTAGATCCAACTCCATCGAGCTTCCCGACAGGACAACAATTAACAAGTAAGTCTTAAGAAGCCCGCAATATCATCACTGCACATAGTGCATGATGACTTTTCAGCGGAGTCGAACGACATTATAATAAAACATCTACAAACTATCCCTCCTTCTATCATGATTTTGGTGCAACCACCTCAGTGACATACTCAAGAAGAAGAGACTCACTGGCAGCGTTAAAGATTGCAAGATACCGGGCAGTAAAAGAAAGACAACAAGAAGAGAAGACAACATCTTGGTTCGAAAAAGCAAAGCTGATCGCTTTAAAACCGCTCCCGAGATTAAAGCAGAGATGCAAAATGAGCATGGAGTCAATATCTCTGTTTCCACCACCCAACGAAGGTTAAGAGAAGCTGGTTTCAATGGCTGCAAACCAAGAAGAAGCCACGTCTTAGCTCTCGCCACAAGAAAGCACGTCTTTAATTTGCGAGGATGCACAAAAACTGGACAGCAGAACAGTGGTCAAAAGTCATCTTTAGTGACGAGTCACGATTTCTACTCCATAGTGATTGTCGGGTGTATGTCAGGAGAATGGTTGGCGAGGATCTCAAGGAATATTGTGTACAACCAACGGTAAAACATGGTGGTGGCGGAATAATGGTATGGGGATGCATCGATTCAAGGGGAACTGGATGTCTCTCTATGGTGAACGGTAGGCTTAACGGGTCATGGTACATTTCTGTCTTGGAGAATGCACTTCTTCCCACAACTCACATGTTGGCTATGCCTGATGGCTGGGTATTTCAGCAAGACAATGCCACTTGCCATACCTCAAGGGTAGCAAGGAATTGGTTTGAGGAAGAGGAAATTACAGTCATGGAGTGGCCAGCACGATCACCAGATCTCAACCCGATAGAAAATCTGTAGGACCACGTTAAAACTATGGTTCAAGAGAAAAATCCCAAAAATAACGATGAACTGTGGGACAGTGTCCAAACTGCTTGGAGAGAATTCCCTCAAGATAACCTAAGGAACTTGGTAGATAGCATGCCTCGCAGGTGTAAAGCCATCGTAAAGGCTAGAGGAGGCCTACCAAATACTAAAATTGTACATATTTAATTTAATTTACAGTTTCAAAAGAGTGACTTTATGCATTCTTGTATTAAGTCGTAAAAATAAATTTTGAGCAGTTCTTTTTGACCGCCAGTGTATATTACTACAAGTTAGTTATTAACTTATACGAGTTTGCATTAAAGTCATTAAAACATTAATTAAAAAGAAAGTTCTGTTCTCTATTAATGATTCTATGACGTACGAATTCTACCAAAATTCCGTTAATTAATTGCTTTAATCAGTATACTATTTCACAACACTCTATTCATGCTCAGTCAAAATCAGTTATGGGAAAAAACGTTCGTCAGCGTCCTCTGACCCAGACTGGAACAGTTTGGCTCAGATGGGAAGTCCGAGTACGACCCCGACGGGTGACGGGCGGGTGTTGGGTGGGCCGTTATGAGCATTGTTATGAGCAATGAGCATCATTATGAGCGTTGTGAATAGTAAATGAATTAAGGCAATATGTATTCAGGACGCGACCAAATTTTCCCATGTAAATCCGCCCCTCCCATCCACTATACCCAATCAATTTGATTCATGGCCGCCTTAAAGCTAACAAAAACACTTCCCACCTCAATTTATAGATACGTCTTTAATATGTTCTAATGCGGACTGGAGGCAAAGTTTTGACAGTAAGGGCTGGTCAAAATGTGGCGCAGAAAATCTCTTTATCACAGGATTTTATCGAAGTCCGCCCAACGGCGATAACAAGCATCCCATCAGTTTGCTTGAAGAAGCAAGATGTTGCAACTCGTCTCCTGCCTACAGCGGTCAGAATAGTCAATGTGAAAAAGTTAACTTCACCAGTTCTTTTAAACAGTAAGTATTTTTATATCATTTCATAATAATATGATTTTTGCGCAGTGTGCTGCAGGCGGTAAAAAAGTCGCATTACGCTATGCATGTGTTGTGTGCGTATTTGGGTGTTTTTAAAGATTGTCGAAGTCGCTCTCGTGATATATGAAAAGGTAGGCAAAAGCAGCGGATTATGAAGATAGCAGATGAGCGACGTGTATAATCAGAATCAATAAAACTTTCTCAGAAGTCCGCTTTACACTACGCTTAATAGACCTTATTCATAATGACGTCAAACGTGGGAAGTATAATGTTAAACAAAGTTTGATTGGCTCGATACTTTTGTGGAGCAAATCAAATTTCGTGTAACATTAGACTTTCTGCGTTTGTCGTCATTATAGGAAAGTTCTATTAATTGGCACAAAACAATTAAAATGGGTAACGTTAACCGTATACAAATTTCATCCGCGCTCCGTCTTATATTGGTAGCCTGAATAAATGACTAAAACAAGCATTCATGTCATCGCTATTTTGTTCAATGAGTCTGCAATAAGTTGCTGTTCGACAGCGGATGCACCAGTGAACACAAACCACCTTGTAAAACCTCGCAATATCAACTTATATTTATGGAAAGGTTTCCTTTTTATACGTTTGCCAAAATGAGATCGTTTTGCTATCATCAAGATCTATTGCCTTTTTTAAAAATTAGATGAATTTAATTTTTTTTTTGAGGATATGGTTAGGCCCTGTAGACGCGTGTATACTATGAAAACTAAATCCAAGTTTTTTCATTTTCATCAGATATATGGGAAATCTACTAATGAATAGGCCTTTGCCAAAATCGTGTACAAAATTATAAATATACTTCTTGAAATATACCTAAAATATGAAGAGGAAATTCGAAAAATAACCCTTTCCTAAAGTAGGTAAAATCTGTTCATTTTCGCCTTATTTAATAGTAACGTGGTAAGCTGGCAATTTTTAAGCGAATTTACATATGCAAATTCGCTGGCATACCACTAAAATAGCTGGCAATATCAAACAAGATTTTCTCCCACCTCCAAGTTGATATTCAGGTCTCTGACCTAATATTTTCTTTCAAAACGCCTCAGATTGTATTCTAAAATCAGCCATGGCAATGTAATAGCTGCCTAAGCAGCCTGTTGGTACCCACAAATGTATAAAAGTGTAGAATATTTTGACATAAGCATTTTTATGCATGATGTAGTAAAATTTGATTATATCAACAAATGATTTTATTGCCAATACTTTTTATAAATACGGATAAAAATATTTAAATTTACGACTCATGCATCATGGCCTTCGACATGTCATTCGTCTCTAGCAAATATTAAATTTTTGTGGGCCTATTTAACATTTGCGTTAATGCTCACGAGAAAAAAAAGTCATTCAAATTTAACAATCGGTGATTTCGATAGTTTTTGGATTTTTTGGGACACCGTGTATATAATTAACCGTTTATGTATTCTATATAGAAATGACACATGGAATGTTTGTCCAATGGGGTACTTTCTGAACGGGTTAAAACGCAAGAATGGCACAAATTTACGTAACATCATTAGCGCTCATTGCTGCAAACCAAACACTCATCCTGACCAGTATGGATCGTGTTATGATGAAGATGTTGGATCATCGTTTAATCACGAAGGATGGTCAAACTGTTCCAAGGGTGGTTATTACATCACTGGTCTTTATCGTGGATCTGGTGTTTGGCTGAACAACATCGATAAATTTCGATGCTGTCGAAACGCTTAAAAATATCGATAAATTGCTTCGCTCTTTCATGTCAATTGATAACTTTTTAAATGTTGCTTTAATATAAGTGTGGTATAACGCGCAATTTCAGAGAATTTCAATTTTGACCTAATTAATTGCTGCATGTATATATTATAAAATAATTAAAAAAGCTCCTTTCCTGCCTTTATGCTGTAATAAAAATAAACTCGGAAAATGTTGGAAGAACACCCAAGAAGCTTGTAAAACAATCGGCTACGTCTTTGCATTATATACGAAGTATATAGCATACTTTATCGTCTTTGAAGCTAAATATATTTGTTTGTGGTTCAATCAGTTTATTTAGGAATTTAGATTCAAACTATACAATAAGTAATGGCATTCTTTTCTAAAGATATAGAACAGAAAATTTTAGCAGGAAAGATATTAAGCGGCTAATTCGATGTTAGACAAATTTTGATGATGTGAAATGTACGACTTCAAGAATCTGTAATCTGTAATGACGCTTAATTGTGCTATAGTGAATATAATATGGTATACTCAAAGGACAAATTTAGTTACATTAACAATCTATTTACGTAAAGGGTATAATGTAATAATATTCAGGTTAGGAAAGTTCACGTAGTCTGTTTATATTTCATACTTCTCGAATTCAATATTTGCGAAAGTTTCTGCGAAGTTTTGAAAAATTAAGAGAATGCATTTTGTAGCTACTTCGTGTATAGTCGGTTTTTTCGTATTCGTTTTCCTTCCTTATACCTATCGTATGGACGTCTACTCGATAGTTCTACAATAGATTATTATATATATAATTATTTAAATTGTAATGATAAACAATTCAGTTTCCACAGCGATGTATTTCAATAAACACTTAATTGTTAATCTTCCGGTATCTATAGCTACGACTTTTTCATGATATCCTAAATGCGAACACGTTTTCCCTTTACCCATTGTACAGTTGCTTGCGAAAATAAAATGAGAATTTTGACATTTGTAGCGAACATATTTCGATAAAAAGGTGTTATAGTCTTTAAATGGGGTAGCTAAAAAAAGATTTACTTATAGATTTACTATATTGCATTTATTAAATAAGCCCGCTCAAAACGTAATAGTTTGGAGTTACGTAATTGGTTGAATACCCCTATTATGAACTGGTTGAAAAAAATGCATTTTGTAGCTATAGTTGTCATTTTATTGTTGTTGGTCTCACATTCCTATTGTTAAGTATGATTTTATTTTCTATATGCGCGAGGTAGGAGATCTTTACAAGCCTTTACTAAAGTTCACTAATGTTCTCTTCTTTCTCGTTCTTCTCTTCTCTTCGGATTATTCGTCCTTTCGGACCTCGTTGTTTTCTGTTCTCGTCTTGGCTGTCTGTTCTGTCAGGTTTAGCTTCTCCAACGTTTCATATACTTTTTTACTCCGCTAGTCCACTGAATGTTCTGTTACTGTGCGCCTCCTTTTATAATAAAATTTGAGGGGATCTTGAAGACGCCCTGTGCAAGGTGATGTGATTCACACAATCCAATCAGCGTTGTAAGTTGTAAGTGTGGGTTGGCGTTAGAAGCTCGGTCCAGCTCTCATACTTTGTTTACTTAAGGCCGGTGACGCACTAGTCAAGTTGGTCTTTACTTAATCGATCACTGTTAAAACTTGTTCACAACTTAAAATATTTATCATCAACTTAAAGTACAATTATCAACTTATTACACTGTGAACCGTATTTCAACTTATAAACTATTTTACTAATAATTTCATCGAATTAAGCTTTTAGTGACGTAAGGCTTCAAGTGCTTAACCGAGCAAAATATAACAAAGACATGATTGACATAAACTAGTATCCGCCTAGAACTTATGTTCTTGAGTCGTGACACTTGTACTTTGTACGACACACTATCGTTTCGGAGGAAACCCCATGGGCTGTCACCTTATGACAGGAAAAGTAATTTTGTGATTCCGAAGGGTCATAATAATATTTACTTTACACTTCATTTTATGTGACATGTTCCCCAAGTAATATCCTCATCTATATTGACCTTCTATTTCTTAACAATGCTAAATTACATTATATATTCGCATTTCGTAACACTATAGAGTGTAAACTTGTCATAATTTTACTTCGTCATTGGTCTACGTCACTACAGAGTCACGTGTGAGATAGCGCGGGAATCAATGAACGTCAGTTTTTCGTTGGTTGCTTTGAGAAGCTGCGATGTAACTACGAGCTTGTTTCAATAAACATGCATTTAATCAATATATAT